AGGTCAGCCAGTCTGGCTGAGAAGAGCCTCCTCCCTAGGGGAGAGAGGTGGAGGCCATCCCTTCCCAGCAGCTCGCTGCCTCTCTCGCCAAAGAGCGGACTGTGGTCATGAAAGCCAAAGCCTTCCTGACGACACCAGCGCTGCAGTCTTTGGTTGACCACATAGATCCTCCTGTCCCTTCTCAGCCCATAGCCTGAGACTGGGAGGATCGACGAGAACACTACCTGTGCCCCCAAACCCTTAAGCCCCGCTCCCAAATCCCTGTAGCGCCTCATGACCTGGCTGGGAGTGCTCCGAGCAGTGTCATTGGTGCCCACATGAATAAGGAGCATGGGATAGTGGTCTGTGGGTTTAAGGAGCTTTGGGATCCTCTCCGTAATGTCCCGGATGCAGCAGACTTCCCGGGGGCCCGGGAAGTGATCCTATGGCGGGATCAGATTTTGTATTGTTCAGGCCTTTCAAGAACCTAAGCATAGTAGATTTAGATCAGTTTGTCCAGTATAGATGTACCAAGTTGAGGTGGTTATTAGACATACCCAAGCTAAACTTCAGGACAGGTTACTTGTTTCAACCCAGAAAGGAACCAAGAACAAGAGGAATCGTTGTTTTATGTGAGACTTTACATTGCAACAGAGACTCATGCTTACCAGAGACAGGTTTTGAATTTTTCCTGCTGTTGGAAATTTCATGCAGTTTAAAAATACATATATTCTTATTCAAGAACCATACAGCACCCAGGCCATGAGATGGAAAAGACTCTAGTCTGGTCTTTTTTTACTACAGCTTTTGATGATGGTTGTTGAGGAGACATTGGTCTAGAAAGTCACAACTCATTGAAAGAAAATGCCCCTGAAGCCAAGGGAGCAGGAAAACATGGCCCAAAGGATGGATTTCTTGTATCCCAGTATCAGTCCTGGGATTCTCTCTCTCCCACCAGGTATACTGCGCTTTTCCAGAACAAACTTCAGGACTGCAAGTCTTGTGAATTCTAAATATAGGATATCTTCAGAGGCTCATGTGTGAGCACACTGTATCTAGGGGCGGTAGCAAGAGAACAGCACAGCAGCTCAGTGCTAAAAGATGGGTAGGTCTCATTGTTAGTGAGATGGAGTGGCAATTTACCTACCTGCTGTACAAAGCATCTCAGTGCTCTAGCTAGTAGTGGTCAGAACCAAGGGAAAGAATGTTGAAACTCTGACAAGTCACTGATGCTGTCAAGGCAGTGACTGATGGAGCCAGACTCCAGGAAAAGATGACTTCTGCAGTCCCAAGTCAATTCTTTCATCTGACATTTTGATTTTGTCTCATCGGCACTCTGATTCCTGGGAGCTTCCTGAGAAAAGTACTTGGTCTACATACAAATGTAAATGTATGTGTCCCATATGAGCTGTTGAAGAATTTGTTCTTCAAGTTCCTCCTACCTTGGACAGTTTTTTCTAGTCTTAATTTTAACACTGGAGGTCTCTAAAAGTAGAAAAGTTAGTTGTGCTATCAGATTGAAGGCCAGATCAGCTGATTTGTTCTGGATATTGAGGCAGCCTTGCTTCAGTTTTTCAGGTTTTAAATTGAAGTTGGAGAACTACTTGACAGCATTTTCCTGGGATTTAAAATACTCTGTGGCAGTTAGTTCTGACCTAACTTGTAAAACTAAAAATTAAAGGATTAAGTTTCCCATGGTTTTGTAAAACAACAAAGAATTCCAGCTTGAGATGAGAAACAGTCAAGAGAGGGGCTGTAGATTTGCTCTGTCCTTTGCTATAAAAACACTAAGATATCCTGTTTGGAGATGTGAAGGTTCCAAAGAAACTAAATGCGTTTTTTAAAAGAATGCTGTGATCTCTCAAAGAAAAAAAAGGGGGAAAAAATAGTTTTGAATTGGACAACCACAAGAACAATAGAACACTTACACGTCTTGACTGCACTCAGGTTTCCCTTAAACTGTTTTTGAAAATAGTATTGTATTTTTTTTAATTTAAATCAGTAAAAAAAAAAAAAAAAAAAAAAAGGCCCCTGCCTTACTAAATCTGGGTTTACAACTACTACAAATGCCATGCTCCTGGCTTCTGGGTGGAATTTTCCATTGTCAGTTCACTCAACTTTGTTCCGTATTAAAAAAAAAAAAATTATATTTGCTGCAGATAGGCAAAATTCCCTGAAGTTATTCAAATAATCCCTTTTTACCTGAGAGGGTCTTGCCATCAGCCTATGCACACCACTCTATAGTCAAATCAAGAAACTGTGCATAAAGTCCAAGCATGCAATAATTTTGTATCTCCCATACATTTATTCACATTTTCCACGGATTCTGTACACTTTCTTACAACATATTTAGAACTACCAAAAACATTTAAGTTACAAGGCAAGTTAAAAAAAAAAATAAAAAAAAAAAAATCAAATAAGCTAAGTTTCCTACAAACAGAATTCAGAGTATTTGAATTTTACTTTGATAGAAATAACATTGAATGGTCACATTTATTAATTTGCACAGTAGTTTAATTGACTGAACTCACACTAGTTCATGCCATTAGAAGTTTGGTTTAATCTTAAAGTTTTTGCTCACAAGTAGTAGCTACAAAAATTACAAATAAAGTAACTTAAGGCATCAAAAATGAAGTTTGAGACACTTTTAAGAAGTTTAACGCACATTGTAATTCATATAGTTTCTACTATAAATTTGTTCAACTGAGATATTTAAATCTCCATCACAGACTATGGGGCAGAGGTAACCTTGACTCAGCATCCTACTCCAAAACAGATAATTTTAGCATAAATAAGAGGGTTATTTTTTAATAAATGAAACCAAATGTTAATGTTTTACTAAATAAAAGGGTTTTATTTTTTTTTGGGGGGGGGGTGGAATCAGAGAGCTTAATATTTGGGGGTCTCTTTGACAGAGATTACCAGAGGGGGGAGGAGGGGGGCAGGGAACAGGGGGGAAGCGTAGAGCAAGAATAAGCAAAGTCCACAGATTCCAAAAACTAGTCAGACTATGCACAGTTATAGAAGTAAAACTTCTATTTCATATCTCAAATTTGGAGGAAGTTTCTTGTGCACAAATAGGCAATAGCTGGACAGCAAGTATTTAATGCCATTACATTAAAATTTGACAGCAATATTTTGATATCCTAACCACGACATGAAAGAGTGATTTAATTCTGATTTGGACTGAAAAATTGCTTCAGTGTAAAATCATTTTGACATTCTAGAATCAAGTATATGGTCATTTATTAATATCTTTTAATTCATTTTGTAATTAAAATTTCTACTTTATATTCTGGAACAACTCAGAGCAGGAAGCTATTAACCTGCGAATGAATTCTAGAAACTACTACTTCAGGCTTCTTCCTCAGAAAGCTCTATGGATTACAACACTTTGAGCAATTCATTTCTAGGTAAGGAGACAAAAATTCTCACTTCAAGAAAAAAAAAAGTTTACCTTCTCCCCAATTGACAATTTTAATATTTAAAGAATCAATACAAATTGTATGGACTTAACATATACATTTTATAACAGTTACAGTTGGGAATCCTAGTTACTTTTCTGGTTTTAGTTGTTTTTAAAACAAAACCGGAAGGTTAGGAAGTTTTAAAAAATTGGTTTTCATATTTTACATTTATGCATACGCTTTACTTTTGAGGGAGACTTTTTATATAAAACACTCATGCGTCAAAATGAGTAAAATCTTTTCTTCTCTGTCACTGGGGCTTTCCATACTACTTTAGACAAATACATGCATGACTAGAGAACACAGTGCACCACTTCCTTCAATCACTCTTTGCCATAGTACAATAGAAAAATGAGTATTTGCTACAACGGGCATTGCAGGGTACAAAGTTTCCAGCCTGTTTTTTTGTACCCTCCACCCACACTGGTAAACATACAATCAATATTAAAAAAACAAGTTTTGCAACCACATGCGTACATCATCTGTCATTAACCATTTTATTCAGTTTGCCTAACTTCAAAAAGCAAGCCAGTGTTCATGTGCAAAAATCCCAGATTTGCCTAATTTCAGAGGCAAATTAGTGAGGATGGTTGTGCAAAGGCCATGTGGAAAGTTTAATTTGCCTCCCTTAATAAATCATCGTTCTGTTAATTGGTCCATATCTCAACTGCTGAAGAGCAGATTGTTACATTTACTTGCGCTTTAGAAAGTAAACAAATACCAGGCAGATACACCTGTAACAGTCCAATACATAATTGCTCTTAAAGTCTGAGGTGCATAACAAGTCTGCTTACCACAAAAGGATAGTATTCCCTTTCAAATCCAGTGATTTGCAGCCTAAAGAACAATTTTTTTCACTGAGATTTATATTTAATTAAGACATTATATTCTAACAACAAAAGCAAAATTATTTGAGCCCTTAGCCATTCAACCTGAGCCTGTAACAACTTACACAAGATTCTGATTTTCATTCACACAAAATTAACAAGCAAAACCATTAAGTTATTCAAATCCAGGTACCAGCAAAACTGCAAAACTTCAAGGGGGCGGGAAAGATGAAAAAAACAAAAAAAAAAAACCTTGAGGGAGCTAACCATACATACATTTAGTGCTAAGATACCTAACCAACTGCAGAAAAGGCACCAACTTGCATTAAAATTGGTATAAGCTTCCTTCCAGTTTGACACATTAAATGCTTTTACGTTTCAGAAGCTGCTTTTTAAAGCAAGCAAAGGGCAGGAGGCTTTGTCTGGTCAAACGGTAAGGGAGGGAGACTGACTGCAGCTCCCTTTAGAGTTCCCCCTCTGTCTGTGCTCTTCTACTTGAGCTGTAGACAAATTGGAGGATATAACTTTTCTTGTCCTACCAGGCAAAGACTCCTCATTTTTAGAGAAGCAACTATAATCGCCCCACACATGAAACCAGAATAAGATAGGACATTGCATTATATCAAGGGCTGACAACCTAGTTTGTGCGCTAGATCCAGCATGTGAAGAGATTTCTGGCCTGCCAAGTATACTAGGATAGTAAATGTAAACATAGCCCCTAAACTAGGGGCCAACAGCCTGTGGCCTATAGACTAGATCCAGCCTGCAGAGCTATTTGAAGCAGCTTGCAGACATGTGCAGCTCCAGCAGCATTTGGTTTTGGTGGGGGAGGGAGAAGCAGCAGAAACTGGGTCCTAGTATCTGCCTTCGCACCTGACCTGGCCAGGGTCATCCTAGCTCACAGCTTAAGAAATTGCTGACCACCTGCCCTGAAGAAATGCACCATCTAGTGGCACAATACATCAACAACTGCTGTCTCTAGCAGGCTTTAGGACCAAGCTGTTTCATAGTTTCGTAGTAGTTAGGGGTCAGAAGGGATCTGAATAGATCATCTAGTCTAACCCCGCACCACTGGTTGGAGCACACGCTGGGATCACATGGCCCCAGACAGGTGTTTATCCAACCTCTTTTTGAATTTGATTCAGCCCACTGTTAGTGAAAGGTTGCCAACCCTTGTAGTAGACGCTTTTCTCAGCACAAGGGACAAATTGGTGGTGGTGTTTGCCCTCCACTCCCATAGCAGGACACAGTTGGATAGTGCACAGGAGTATGGTTTAAACTGCCACAACCTGGCAGATGTTCAATAGCTTATTGGGTTCTCCAATAAATCAGAACTGGAAGCAGACTTAGTGGCAAGGCATCCCATAAAACAGATTTTGGACTTGGGCTCCTAATATCTGGGACATCAAAGGAATAGAAAAAAGAAAAAAAAAATCTTTTCCTCCCAGCCCTTTCAGTCACAATGAGCTGGGACCAGGTTTGAAATGATGCAAAATTGATGGCAGCAGCCATTGACAAACAGATGGAAGAGTGAAGAAAGAAGCCATGATAACTTGCACTACTAATCATTTTAAGAACAGCATATCCTGCATTTATGCAGGGGATTAGACAAAATTATCCTTTAAATCCCTGCCAGCTCTCTGATTCTGTTTAGATCCAATATTTCCCCACTGGAATTAAAATTAAAAAAATTCTAGCCTGTATAAGCCACATCCTTCATACCCTGCTCTTCCTGCAAGCCCAGGACAATTAGTGTCCCAAGAGCTATAAAATTACAACTAATCTCTACAGTACTTATCAATATTGGATATAAGCAAGTGGTGTATTGCTGCTTTATTACATCTGGGAAGACTCAGCTATGTATTAGTGTTGTAACTCAAGTTTAACAGAGAGGCTCTTGGCCACATTCAGAGAATTTTACAAGAAAGAAAAATGTCAATGGGCATCAAAATTCAGTTTTATAAAAGATGACATCCTAAGATCACCAAGACTTATCAAAAGACCAGGTAGAGTCTGGGAAATGGAAATACAACTCCCCCAGAATGCATCTGAAACATGAACTGGAGAGCAGGTAACCTATGGAAAGAGGGACTAGTAGAGTCACTACTCTTAGTCTTTAAGATCCGTCAACAAGTAGTGCCAGTTGTGGTTTGAATGAATGTACTACTCCAGTTTCCAGCTAATACTATTGCACCCTAATGAAGCACAACAAAACTGACAATGCTTCCCAGGAATGCTACAGCCAATGAACAGGAATAACGAGAGCAGTCAGATCATTTTCTTCTAAGAATGAAAAATGCAGTCTCCCAATGTTAAAAACAGTCGTCCTTCCAAATTTAAAGACTGTAACCTACAGTAGCTTTGCTATTCAGATACGATTTCAGTTAAGAGTTTGAAAGTTTAGACTTTTTACTGAAAAGTTGACACCAATTTTATATTAAAAAAAATTCTATTCAGGCTAGAAATATAGTTTTATGAATTAAATTAACCTCCTCCCTTTTCAAGAACAGGAGGTTACTGCATTGCACTGTAAAATCTATCTACAAGAAATGTCTGGTACCACACTTTTCCTGATTGTAGTCCATTCAGCAGTCACTTTTGCTCAGTGTTACAAAGAAATGATCTAATTTAAGCATGTACATTTTGTTCAGATAAAGTTCATGCATTTAGGTATTTCAAAAGGGAGGGAGGACAGATTGACACGTGTTCTATTAAAATGTTTATTAGCCATTTTAGCTTTCCCCACAAAACCTTCCAGAATTCCTATGATAGTTCTTAGAATGTCAGAGTAGAAAGTTAAGTATTCTAACAAAGTTGAGGAAAAAAAAAAAAGAGCAGCAGCAGTTTGGCAAAAATTCTTGAGATCACTTGACCATAACACTTAAGCCTCCTTTTTCTCCAGTAAGATTTTGTGCAACTCATCTGCATCTTCACTTGTTTTCACTCTTATTAACATAGTGATGGGGACAGTGGGGTTCTTCTCATCAACTGGTGGATTGGGAACACAGACAATAAGAACGTTGTTTTTTCCTGTTCTTGTGCATGGCATCTTGGGTGGAATCAAAACATTCAAGAGTATGTTGCCTGCATTTGTGGGGCAAAAAAAAAACAAACAAAAAAATCAACAACACTATTAGGTTAAAATAACAGGTTTTAAGAAAAGAAAAAAGTTAACCTGATATTGGTAAACTTACAAAGCAGGGATTTTAGCTAAAAGGTGGACTGAAATAGTAATAAATTTTCCACATTATTCCCCACACCTGCAGGAGACTGTGGCTGCATTACTCTACTTCACAATTTTATTGGAGAAGCATCAGCAAATTGTTATGATTAGAGAAATTTTGCAGAGAGACAGCTGTGTGTGCAAAAAGTGGTAGAGGTGCAGGTGCAATTCAAGAATACTGCTGGGGATAACTCATATAGTATAGAGCAGGGGTAGCCAACCTGTAGTATGTGGCACAAGTGGCATGGACAGCACAGCAGCACATAGGACCAGGAGCAGAAGGCACAACAAGAGATTAGACAGGGAGCACAAGGCAGGAGGCAGACAGGGCAGGGAAAGGTAGAATAGATATATGCAAAAGCAGCATTAACCCAAAACATCTTCAGTTTGAGTATGTATCTCTAAATAGCAGCACTGACCAACTAAAGGTATAGGCAAGTTGAGGCCTTGCACCTTTGTCTTTCTACCAGTAGATACTGGAATATGCTGCTTTACCCTTTAACAAAAGGGCCTATGCTAAATCCTTTTACGATTTGTGGCTGTAGGGAGCTATATGTGGTACTAGGGAATGACAGGATACCAAAATTAGAGGAAGTGGTAAAAGCAGCATGTTATAGTCAAGAGTCAGGTTATTTCCCAGAGTAAATTATTTTGCAACTGAAGTGGGTAAAATGTC